CCAGACAGGAGACGCCATCCAAGCAGTCCTGATATATAGTGGTCAGGCATTTGTTTAGAAACCTTCAAATGAAGGAGATCTTTCAATGTTGATGTGAAACTCAAGATCCTTGACATATGTTTAAGATAAAAATTTAAGATTAACCATTTGTTTTAGAAGGCAATAGGGCAAGGAGGGCAAGAGGTGAGCTGGTAATTAAGATTCCTTGTTGAGACACATGTAAGATATATTACTACTTATTTGTCATTTATAGATGTAACAATATATAGCTCTTTGTGTTCCATATAAGGACAGGAGGATATGGGTGTATCTTTTTGTGATTGGTCATACCAATCAGCCAATAGGAATTTCAACCAGGCTGATTGGACAGAGGCAGCCACAGGAGGAGCAAAGGGGGCTGGATTAAGGGAATATAAGTGCTGGCCATAATGGCAGGAGGCAGGCCAGAGCTTGGTAACCATATACCACTGTGCCTCTCATTTATTTGTCTGACAAATAAATTATTATTTTAATTTCTCTATTGCTGCGTTGAATATTTCATTCCAGCTAAGCGTTAACCACAAGCAGGGTGCTACACTTCCACCGACACTTCTCCCTGGTCTCGGATTCTGCCAGTCATTTCCGCGAGACCAACTAAGTTTGTTCTGGGTATAAGCTTTCCTGTGCATGCACACTTCTTCAGATACACTGAAACAGAAGTCAACAGACTCGTCCAAAAGACAGACAGGAAGACATAATGACCAAGCCACCTGGTGGTGCTTTGCTCTGCCTAGAAAGTCACAAAATGTTTAATTGTGTTTTTTAAAACTGAGTTCTTTTTTGCCAATTTAAAAAAATTGATTTCCCACAATTTTAAACAATTTTCCACCAAATTAATACAAATTGATTGGCAGAGGGCCTTCTCGGTAGTGGTGTCCTTCCCTGTGGAACGCCCTTCCATCAGACGTTAAGGAGATGAGCAATTATATAACATTTAGGAAACGTCTGAAAGAAGCTCTGTATAGGGAAGCTTTTTAAGGTTTAAAATTTTACTATGCTTTTATCTGTGCTGGAAGCTGCCCAGAGTGGCTGGGGCAACCCAGTCAGGTGGGCAGGGTACAAATAATAATAATAATAATAATAATAATAATAATAATAATAATTATTTAAAAGCTGACTTCCCACCCCACCCCTCAGATGTTCCTTTATTTTCCTCCCTCCTTCGCTGCTCTCAGTACAATAACTTTTCCAACTTTGGTTTCAAAATTCCCTCATCCTCTCTCCCTGCACATCGCCTGCACATTTACCAATTTATGCTATGGCTTCTGTCCATTATTATAACCCATCCTCAAAAGAATGGAGTAAGAGTGAACCTAAGGAGCGCCATGACGGAAAACTGAGGAAATCTTAATCCATTTCAGCATTCCAGCTTTTGTATGTTTCAAAGTACACCTGTGAATCTTTCTCAGTTTTACTGCTTTCTCCTTTGTAAACTGCTTTGAGGGTTCTTTTTTCCCCTTTTTTTTGCAAACAAGAGGAGTATAGATATAAATAAATAAAATAAATGGGTTATTCCTGAGGAGATTCTTTTTCTCCTCCGAAATGAGACACTTTCCTCAGAAAGGGGACCCTTTTTCTCCTCAGAACAGGCCGGGATATGAAGCAGGGATATGAAGACCTCCCTCCGCCTGAGGCCTTTTCCCGCCTTTTTCCTCCCCCTAGAACAGGCTTCCTCAGCCTCAGCCCTCCAGATGTTTTTTAGGCCTACAACTCCCATGATCCCTAGCTAGCAGGAGCAGTGGTCAGGGATGATGGGAATTGTAGTCTCGAGACATCTGGCGGGCCGAGGTTGAGGCAGGCTGCCCTAGAAAGTGCTGGAAGAGCTGCCCCTCCCCCTCTCCCCTCAGGGAGAGTCAGGGGAGCCTTGGCAAGGCAAGGAAGGCGGCCATCTTTCTTTCGGGGGGATTCAAAAAGTTCTTTCTTGTCCTCTTCCCAGGGGCAACTGATTTATTTCATAAAATGTATAGGCTCTTGACTGTGAGGGGTGGCGGGAAGCAGCATGGAAAAAGAAGGGTTGGTCCTCATATCCGGAGGCCTCCTAAGCAGCCACCGTTTGAAATCCATTAATTCATGTAATTCCCTCAGGCGCCCATGGGGGGTTTTAGGGGGGTCCCTGGCCAGAGGATGGCTTGGGGTTCCCCTCCTGCCTCAAGCAGAAGATTCGGGGGCTTCTTCCGGTTTTCCTGGTCTTGCTTGGAAAAAGTCACATTTGCCTCTCTTTCCCCTCAGTTTCCCAATTCATTGGCCTAAGGAGCCCCTGAAATACGCTCAGCAGAGATTAATTTTCTGTACAATCTCTTCTTCTGTTTTGCTTGCTTGTTTGTTTGTTTTTTTAGTCATTTGTTTTATTGGTTTTATGTACAATCTTTACAACAGAGGACTTTACAACCAAAATAAACCTTTACAACAGAAAACTTTACAACCAAAAGAAACCCAGACCGAAGCAATAACATGACTCTCATGTTTTCCTTTGTACTAAATCCTTCTCAAATTTCCTTATTTTACTATTTATTAACTTAAATCTTCTTTTAATTCCTTGTTCTTGACCTCCTAAATTGCGTATTTGTCCTCTACAGTTTTCCAATTATTGCCTTATACTTTCCTCCCTCTATACCCGTTACTTCCCTTCACCCATGTGCGATCTTCTCTGCATACTGTTGTGTTAACAGCTATTAAATTCGTTTTCCAGTTTGTATTGTAATGTTCTCTTGTGTCCTTCAGGTTATTGCATGTTAAATTTAAGCTCTGAAACCAAACCAATATATCCCTGTATGCATTCCCATTCTTTGTCAGTTTTTTGATTAGAGCAGCCTCTAGTTTTGCCATCTTCGCAAATTCACAAATTTTAGCTCACCATTCTAGTAATTCAGGTATTTTTTCTGATTTCACTTTTTTTTTTTGCCCCTACTATTCTAGCCGCTGCTGTTGTGTACAGGAATATGTTCTTTTTGTCCATTTTCTGTACAATTTCATATAACCATAAAACTGTAGCGTTGGAAGGCCCTGCAATGCTGGAATCTCAACTAAAGCATCCAGGACAGAAGGTCATCCTCTTCTTCTTTGCTGATCCCTCATAGTAAGATTGTCTTCCATGAACACGGTCTTAACAATGAGTCCGTAAGTGACTGTGGAGGCCAATTCTGGACCCACACGTCCTTCCACAGTGGGGACATAGGTCTCCAGGTGGGAGCTGATCACGGTGTGGATTTGCCAAGCATGCCTTCCTCTTAACATATTTCTCCCTTGCGTCCTGAGTTCGAGTGTCTTCAAAGCCCAGGACACCTTTGGTCAAGGCTGTTCTCCAACTGGAGCGCTCGGAGGCCAATGTTTCCCAGTTGTCAGTTTTTATACTACATTTTAAAAATATTTGCCTTGAGAGAGTCTTTAAAGAGCTCTTTTGTATTTTGCTTTCCATTCTTGAGTTGGGAATAGAGTAGTTGAGAAGTTGTGGGCTCTCCTTCCTTGGAGGCTTTTCGGCAGAGGTTGGATGGGTGTCTGTCATGGATGCTTTCGTTAAGATTCCTGTATTGCAGGGGGCTGGACTCAGAGTCCCTTCCAGCTCTCAAGTTCTAGAATTCTTTTCTTCTTCTTCTTTTGACAAAGTAATAATCATAAATAAATCAGAATAAAAATGTGCAGCCCCACCACCGAGATCATTCCATTGTAACTATCCAACTTCCCAAAATGTCAACACTTGTTGCGATGGTTTGACCCCTTTCCGTTTAAACAATACAAAATCTACAAACACCCTCCATACCTATACAAAATCATTTCTTATATTCCCTGTCTTACCTTAATAGCACATGTTAATTTATCATTCGTAGCTATAGCCCACACCTCTTTATACCATTCTTTCATTTTATATCCTTTCACAGCCCCAGAGTCAGAGGAAGTGGGAGAAAGGCTATGAATAAGACAAGAGGTGACAGTTGTCAAGAGCTGTTGGCCACAGGCGAGATCACAAGCATTTACAACATGCTTTGCATCAAATAAGCTGACATTTGGGAGCGTGAAGAGGTGTGGAGGACTTGCTTACAGACTTTTGTTCTATATAGAGAGATATAAAATCACATTATCAGAGGCAAATTGAATTGAAATACTTTATTGTCACTTGTATAACTAGTATACAGTGAGATTACACGAGCACCCCCCACTCAGCTCTCTTAGTCTAAATTCCCCTCATTTACTGATGCACACCCACCAAACCCGAAAGTCAGTTGCCCTGTTGTTATCTTTTCATTCAGCAGCCTAACAGCCCATGGATAGAAGCTGTTCTTTACCCTGTTGGTATGACTAATCATGCTTCCATATCTTCCGCCTGAGGGCAGGAGATCAAGAAAGTGCCAGCCAGGGTGTGAATCATCCCTGAGAATTTTCCTCACTCTCCTGAGGCAACGTACTTCCGCTATTTCATCCAGTGGATTCACGGGACAGCCCATAATATCTTGTGCTGTGTTCACCACCCTCTGTAGGCACTTCCTATCAGATGATGTCAAACCAGCATACCACACCGTGATGCAGTATGAAAGGACACTTTCTATTGTTGACCGGTGGAAGGAGATAATCAGATGTTGATTGACATTGTTCTTCCGCAAGACTCTGAGGAGATGGAATCTCTGTTGGGCTTTCTTAATCACCTGGGTTGTATTTATTTTCCAGGTAAGGTCTTCATTGAGATAAACTCCTAGGAATTTAAAGGAAGAGACTCTCTCCACACAGCCCGCCCCGATGTACAGCGGGGCTAGTTCTCCTCTCTTCCTCTGAAAGTCCGACACCATCTCCTTTGTCTTGCTGATATTAAGGTGCAAGTTGTTCAGTAGGCACCATGTAGATATTTTTTGGCCCTCCCTTCTATACGTTGATTCGTCTCCACCTGTTATTAAACCCATTATGGTGGTGTCATCTGCAAACTTAATAATTGCAGTAGACGGGTCAGATGATACACAATCGTATGTATACAATGAATACAGGTAGGGACTTAGCACACATCCCTGTGGTATGCCAGTCCTGATTTTTAAGGAATTAGATGTTACACGTCCAATCCTCACTGTTTGTGTCCGATCTATCAGAAAGAATGTTTGAAGCTTTCTTATTCCAAGAACTTAGGCTGGGTTCAGACTTATGCCTTCAAATCACATTTGAAGAACATTCCTTCCTTCCAAGAATTCAGGGCGCTGTAGCTTGCTAAGGGTTTCCTCAGGTTTGTGACTCTGTGAGAGGTGAAGGGAATAATTTGAGGCAGATTGTCCGGGATTTCTCAGTCAGGGACATGCAAGCCATGATTAATGGGACGAGAGGAATTAAATGAGAAATGAAATTAGGAAGTGGAGAAAGATTGCCAGCCTTGCCTCTTTTCCCGTGAAAAAGGCATTGGCCTCAAGGACACTTTTTTCAAGCCCTCCCTCTGTTTCTCCTCCACCTCACCACTTCTTGCTCTTTATGTGTCACAGAGCTGCCCCCAAAAAACCAGTTTCCAAAAATAAGCACAAAAGAGAAAGCGAGGACCACAAGCCAGTATGAGGACTGTTTCATCCTGTGTGATGCTGTGCAAAATAGCTGCGCCTCCATCCGGTGTGATGCTGTGTGTATTGTGCTTGATAACTGTAAATGAGCATTTGTGTTTTTCAAAGATCTTTTGTCATCCCCCATTGACTTTAAAAAGCCCCAGCTTCCCTATGTTCCCTATGGTAGGTGCTAACGTGCTCAGCATTTTATCAGTTACCCAATTTCTCTCAGCTTCCACATCTGCATTTGAGAGTGGCCATGACAGCTTCTGCAGAGCAGCTCAGTGCTGCAAGGCATGCTGGGAACTCTTCTTGAGGCCACCCTGGTGGTCAGCCCCGTTTGACACCAAAGGCGCACCCAGAATGCTCAGCAACGCCACTGTGTTTCTTCTCAGTGTGTTTGGAAAGAAGATTATTGTTGCAGATGCATCAGCTCTGTGTTGCTGCTACAGTCGCTTCTTCTAAACTCAGACTTTGAAGCATGGAGCAAATTGGCCATCTCTTTGTCCTCCTGGGTAAGACCCTTTTCTTCTCCCCTCCAACCCCATTCTTTTCCTTCTTCTGGAGCCTCCTATCTACACTTCCCTTCCCAGTTTCGACTGTCTGTCTTTACTCAAATCTCCTGCCTCTGTTCTCTGTTTCCAGGGTCTTTAGGGAGGGATGAGCACGTTTCAGGCAAATCTTTCACAGCATCCACACAATGTCCCAGCCTTGGGAATGTTGGCTGCTTTTAACCTTTACCTTTCCTGCAAGAAAACCAAAATAAAACCTCCAGAAATGCTTCAGAATAGCGGGTAATGCTTTGGGAGGGAAAAAAATGTGTATGAGGTTATTTAGGAGTCCAGATTATGAAACTTGAAACAATGCCAAAAACATTTTATATCTATCGATCGATCGATCTAAGCATCACATTTTTCTCCTCTGTTCTTTTTCAGCCTCATTTTTGGCTCTTTCCTGGATGACGGCCCTTGCAGGTAATCCATTTAATATAACTTCAAATACTGAGTGGTAGGCAGATACAGTGGTACCTCAGGTTAAGTACTTAATTCGTTCCAGAGGTCTGTACATAACCTGAAACTGTTCTTAACCTGAAGCACCACTTTAGCTAATGGGACCTCCTGCTGCCGCCATGCTGCCGGAGCACGATTTCTTTTCTCATCCTGAAGCAAAGTTCTTAACCTGAATCACTATTTCTGGGTTAGCGGGGTCTGTAACCTGAAGCGTATGTAACCTGAAGCGTATATAACCCGAGGTACCACTGTACTGTCGGTATGAACACATCTTAAAATTTAGACGTGGATATATTGTTGTGGCTATTTTTTCCTTATTCTGTCCCTTATCTTGAAGTCCCAGACCTGAAGGGTGTGAATGGTGAGTCAAAGGGATCACCCACACTTCCTTTCATGCTCTGCTTTCTAAGCACAGGTCTGGGATTTCCAGGTCCAAATGGATTTTTTTTTGGGGGGGGGGGGAGAAGAGAGGAGAGGAGAGAGAGATTTTCAAAACCTGATTGAGTTTAAGAGGCAATGGAATAAAGAGTGGAGTGGGATGGGTTGGGACTGTCAATCCGAAGCAGTAATTGAAGTATTGTGGAAGGTTATAGGGATTCATGAATCTTCTAATGCAATAGGAAGATCCTAAGGGACTGGCCAAACTGTATTTTTATTGTATCTCCCTCTGTTTCTCAGATACTGTGGCTTCACGTCCATCAGGCCCTTGGCTGTCTCTCTTACCTCCACACAAGACTTTTGCTCAAGGAGAACTGGCTTCATTGATATGCTCCCTGCCAGAAGGACAGAGGGCAACGGGGTTCTATTTCTATGAAAAGAGAGGAGGTGTACCAGTCATGTATGGACAACAGGCGGAAAATATCTTGGAGGTTTCCACAGAATACCTGGAAACAAACAAAACATTTCTCTGTGCTTACCTGGGGGGAAAGAGTTCAGGAGGACTCTTCCTGTCTTCGCTGAGTAACGAGGTTGTGCTGTCCATCACTGGTGAGAAACGAACTCTTTGTGACAGAATTGCATGCACAACAGCTAAGCCAGCTTGGGGATAATAGCTCCTACTCCGCCCAAGCCATTTTGGTAGTTGTAACTGTGAGAGAGATCAAAGGAGCTCTGGCCAAGATCTCTCAGCATAGTCACAAAACTGCCACCATCATAGTTGCTAGGGGAAGCCCACAGAGTACAATACTGAAGATTCAAGTCTGTCGTGAAGATGAGCTTTAATGTGATGTAGCAAAGGGGCAGGGTTATTTTAAGCAGTTCTTCAGTCTTGGGGGGCACAGATTCTGTTGCTGCTCTACAACTCCCATCATCCCCTGCCTGCTTGATGGCAGCTGTAGTTCAACAACATCTGGTGACCCAGGGTTGAAGAATCGTGAAAGCCTTTGCTTACGTGGAGGGAAACCAATATTCACAAGAAGAAGCCAATTTCCTGAAGCCTGACATGAATGGTTTGTTAGAGATTCCAAGACGCCTCCAGAGCCACAGTTTTCAAGGTTTACTGGAGGGATTATTGTTAAAATAATTTAACCTGTAAGATGGGTATGCACCGAATTCCTGGAACAGAGGTGTTTAACAAAGATTGTTCTTCCTTTCTCTGTGCTCCTTCTACTTCCTTCTCAGAGCACCCTCATCCCCCAGTCTTAACTGTTTCGCCCGAAAAGGATAGCTACAGAAGAGAGGAGTCCATAAAACTTAGATGTTCAGTTTATGAAAGCCGCGATGTATCAAAGATCCAGTTTTTCAAGGACAAGAGGCAACTGCAACTCATCAATGTCCCCTCCTCTCTGAACACCTTCACACACACACAACTGCTTCTTCCTCAAGATGGTGGAGATTACTCCTGCAAGTACCACATTGTGGTATCAGGGCGAGAGTTCCCATCCAGAGAGAGCAACTCCATCAGGATTTTGGTATTGGGTGAGGAGGCCTTTCTTTGCAATATGGGTCTCTTGGAGGGGGAAGTGGGAAGGTGGACTGAGGTTGGGGGAGGTTAGGCAGGCGAGGAATAGAGGAATAATTTTGTTAGTAGAATATGTACAGAATTCAAAGATCACCCATAATTTCATAGTCCTTCCAAACTCCTCTTTTCTTCTTGTCTGCCTGTGAAACGCATTGCCCCTTCCAGAACAACATTGGAGGAAACAAAGGCAAGGTGCCTGCCCCGAGGAACATACAAGGGATGTCGTCACATGGGGATCCCTTCTGACCTTGGGATTCTCTTTGATTCTCTCTGCAGATGAACCACTTTCCACAATGCCTACCTTTTCCACCCCTGACCAGGCTGTTCTGAGTTTTGCCGCCACCACCAGGCCACCTAGAAAGTCAACACTGGCAACTTCATCAACCAGCTCTTCTCGCTACATCGCCAGAACACTCTCAACACACACAAAGCTCCTTGCATCAAGCACCTCCTGGTCCAGCTCTTCGCAGTTGAGTCTGCATTATAGCACCTCAACCAGCAGCACCAATGCTCAGGAGAGCAGGAAATCCTCCTCCTGCTGTGATCCCAAATCAACCACAGACCAAAAGAAGGACAATTCATTAAAAGGTACGCCCCTCTCATGAGGCTGTTATTTTTAAGAAAGGGACCCCCTTCCTTCCTTCCTTCCTTCCTTCCTTCCTTCCTTCCTTCCTTCCTTCCTTCCTTCCTTCCTTCCTTTCTCTTTTATTGTTTTATATTTGTATAAAATTTTGATTGTATAGGTTATAAGCCACCCTGAGTGCTGCAGTTGCACTAGAAGGAAGCAAAATATCCAAATAAATAAATAAATAAATAAATAAATAAATAAATAAATAAGGGTTGCACTATAAATAACCCACCTGATTCAGCTCAGTGCGGAATATTATTTTCACCCTACGAAAATAAATAGAAGCAGTGCTACTGCTGCCTGATTTGTTTGCTTTAGTACCGTTATTATTTTTGTCTTGTGGTATTGTTTTTAACCAAACTGCGGGAGGCAGTGGAAGACAGGAGTGCCGGGCATGCTCTGGTCCATGGGGTCATGAAGAGTCGGACATGACTAAACGACTAAACAACAACAACAATTGTTTTTAATCTGATGGTACTGTACTGTTATTTTATCATGCGTGGCTGTGTTTTAGGTGATAAAATAGGAATTTTATGATGTTGCCATGCTTCCGTTTGAGAGGGCCAACCTGAAAGGCAGCCTATAACTACAGAATATGGATGGTTGGAAAGAATAATATTTAGAAAGGGACAATCAATTGACCTTCAGAGACCAGGGAGGGAAGAGGAAGGGTGGAAGATAGAATGGCCAAAGAGGGGAATATGTGGAGCAGCAAAGTTCATAGATACTAGCCAAATCTTTGTTTTGTAAAAATTGACTAGTTCTCTGATCAATAACCCGTTCTGATCAACAGCAATTCTCTTACAGGTTCATATCCTTTTCTTCAGGCCATTAGATGTGGCACCGGCGGATGTCTCCTCCTCCTGGTGTTTGTTGTCTGTATTTATAGGAAGAAGCACAAAGGTATTTGGCAAGGCAGGGGAAGCTGAGCCTGGGGAGGTGGACATCCCAGGAGGAATGCAGATGTGGGTGGAAGTAACCCCTGGTGGAATCATCACAGCCAGAATTATCACTAACTGCTTATGCACAGCATGCCTTCTTCATTTTTTTTTATTTTGACAAAATAATAATCATAAATAAATAAGAATGAAAATGTGCACCCCACCACCGAGATAATTCCACTGAAACTATCCAACCTTCCAAAATTTCAACACCTCTTGCGATGGTTTGAACCCTTTCCGTTTTAACAGTACAAATTCTACAAACACCCTCCATATCTCCTCAAAATCACTTCTCCTGCATATTCCCTGTCTTACCTTAATGGCACATGTTATTTTATCATTCATAGCTATATCCCACACCTCTTTATCCCATTCTTCCATTTTATATTCTGCTTGCCCCTTTTATAGCTATAATAATTCTAGCTATAATAATTCGTGCAGAAACCTCGCCTGTTCCATTTCTGTGTGTCAGGTTGCAGTTAGAAGCACAGAAGCAGAGTTATAAAAGGTAGCAGCCCCATCTATTTGTCCAGGACAGAGATCTGAAATTCTTCGCAAGGCCCTCTCCATGGGGCTGCCATTGAAGACTGTTCAAACCTGCTGTGGTTTCAAAAGACAGCAACTTATAAAGAGCACATCCTGTCAGTCTTTATAAGACCTTTGCAGACTCTCTGTTTCAGATTCAAAATGATGGCCTCTTGGCCCTCAAAGCCCTAAACAACAACCATCCTTTAATTTATTTACCCATTAAGAATTACACATAATGAACTACATTGTTCTGTTGTAAAAGAAAAAATCTGCACACTAAGAGGCTAGAAAAGGAGGAAAAAGAAGAAAAGAAAAATAAAGAAAAAAATAAACGAAAAATCTTATGAAAAACGTACAAGAAATGCAAACCATCATCGACATTATTATAAACATATATTTCCAGTAAGAAATCCTTTTATCTTCAGCTTATCGATTTCTCTTTGCCATTCTTACTTTCTTATCTATACCTGATCTCTGGTTTTATTCCTTGATTTATTTGATGACTTCCTTCTACCACTATGCCTTTTCTAATTTCTCATATCTTAAAATTTGTGCATCCATTTTTACTCAGTGGAGAACTTATCTCTGTGGAATTTAATTTATTCTCAGCCAAGTGTCATCACTGGAACCGTGTTGCATCATGTAATTTTTAAAAACATCCCATTCTTTTTTTAATCCTATCTCCTGAATAGTTTCTTATGAATTCTGTTAATTTCGGTAATTCAAGATATTCACATATCTTTAGGTGCCATTCTTCTTTTGTCGGTATTACATTACTTTTCCAATACTTTGCTATAAGAATCCTGGCAGCCGTAGTAGCATAAAGAAAAACTCTTTTGGGATGTTTGTTGTAAAAATACCTAATAAAAATAATTCTGTTTTTTAAGGAAATGTATATTTTAACATTTTCTTCAATTCTTCATATATCGTGTCCCAAAATAATACGTTGGTGGTACAGAGGTGAGCATAGCTGCCTTCCATCCTTGAAATTTCACCCACTTCTCTGAGTGTTGCAGCACTGTTCCACAGCCAAGCAATGTAAAGCGCAGCATTCTAGAGGATATTGTGCCTTACGTGCTCTAAATGTGGGAACCCCTGGTGCCCTGTCTTTGTGTCTCCTTCTTCGCTTAAGAGTCACACACATTCACAAACTTTTTCTTTTCTTTTCTCAGATAAGAGAGTGATCACAGCAAGGTGAGTGAGTACGAAAACTTGGGACAGCTGTCAGAAGCAGCTTCCTCCAAGCTGTTGGACATGACGCTGCGGTTTGTGTGGCCTGATCATCGGAGGAGTCGGGGCTGCTGTGTGTTTAAAAACAGAAGCAGGGACATGCAGTCAGGAGTGACAAGAGGCTGCAAGGGTGTGGCTGCTTAAAAAAAGCCACCTCTTTTCAAGAAGATAAAAAGAGCTCTTTAGCACAATGCAAAGGGGAGTCATTTGGCCTAGCCTCCATTTTCCAACTGTATCCAGCCAGATGCCTCTGGGAAGCCCACCAGAAGGCCATTCCTAATTCCTGCTCCCCTGGTTTTCAGAGATAGAATCAAAGAATTCTAGAGTTGGAAGGGACCCTGAGGATCATCTAGTTCAGGCACCCCCAAACTCGGCCCTCCCAATGTTTTGGGACTACAGCTCCCATCATCCCTAGCTAACAGGACCAGTGGTCAGGGATGGTGGGAATTGTAGTCCCAAAACATCTGGAGGGCTGAGTTTGGGGGTGCCTGATGTAGTCCAACCCCCTGCAATGCAGGAATATGCAGCTGCCCCATACGGGGATCAAACCTGCAACCTTGGCATCATCAGCACCACGCTCTAACCAACTGAGCTACCCAGGAAGAAGGACCAAAAGGACAAGTTTGGGGGTTGCAGATAAGGAGGGGGAAATACATTTTAAAAATAATAAAAATTGTCCAGTAGCACCTTAGAGACCAACTAAGTTTGTTCTTGGTATGAGCTTTTGTGCGCACGCACACTTCTTCAGATACACTGAAACAGAAGTCACCAGACCCTTATATATAGTGTGAGGGTGGGGAGGGGTATTACTCAGAAGGGTGGTGGGAATGGGTGATTGGCTGATAGGTGTGGTAAACCTGTTCACGACTGTTTACCACCATCAGCCAATCACCCATTCCCACCGCTCTTCTGAGTACCGGTAATAGCCCTCCCTACCCTCTGGTATGGTAACTTCTGTTTCAGTGTATCTGAAAAAGTGTGCATGCACACGAAAGCTCATACCAAGAACAAACTTAGTTGGTCTCCAAGGTGCTACTGGACAATTATTTTTTAAAAATATATTTCTACTGTGTCAGACCAACACCACTACTTACCTGAATCAGGAGGCGGAAATGATTGGCATGTTGGAGAGAAGGGAAGATGTCTGTAAGGGATGGGGTGGCTGGGACAGGGACAGAGCCAGTGGACAGGGACAGGTGGGGGCAGAAGGGGCGAAGGGAGCAGAGCAGGATTCCAGGTTGCTGGAGGTTGGGCTAGATGACCCTTGGCGGTCCCTTCCAACTCTATGATTCTAATGTCTATTCTGGTCCCAGGAGGGCAGGCAGCTCCTGCTACATGGTTCTGTCCTCAGACAGATGCTTTGATGGCCGTTTGGACTTCTCACAAGAGGGGGATTAATCATTGAGTTACTTGGCCCTTCACCTTTGCTGTGAGATGCTATGCGTTTTCTCTGTGTAAGAAACTGGGACGGAAACTGTGGAAACATTTAAAAATAGAATAAAATAGTTTAGTGAGGTTATTTCCTCCTCCATTCATGGCTGGGATTGGGAGATTCTTCCTCAATTTCATATTGAAACCATCACAACTTCCTCCATGAAACCTTTGACAATACAATAACTGCCCCCCCAATTTCTATTTAAGGAAATAGAAACTGAGCTATGGGATTGGCTGCTACAGGATGTGGTTTAGATGCCTTTTGAAAAGAGGTACATTTGTGAAGAATATTCCGCCAAAACATTTTAGTCATGACAGCTAAGTAGATCTTCATAGTGCAGAAGCAGTCTACCTCTGAATTGCTGTGCACTGGAGATAAGGAAAAGAGGATGGTGGGCTGTTTGTGAGTTGCCCAGGAGTGTCCAACTGGTTGCTCTCAAAAGTGGATGATGCAAACCCTCAATTTGCTCCCAACAGGCTTGGGGGGATCATCATTCTTTGAACATGTCCCTCAATTTCCTTCTCCTTTTCAGGACTCAGACGCCTTTTACTGCCTTGCTGCCCCCTGCTCTGCCTCAGCCCCCAATATTGCAATCATGGATGGAGAGTGGAGCCAAACCGGCCGAAGACCAGGAGGAAGGTCTCTACAACAACATTCCCCTTCAGGGTAAGAAGAGAGCAGAACAATACAGAGATTCTGAAGAAGAATGAGCCATCGGGGAGATGAAAATATTCAGATGGGGATTTACAACCAGGGAGATGGGGTGGAAGGGAAGAGGGCAGTGTTCTGCCTTCCCCTGCCTAGTCCAGCATACGACTGGGCTCATTTTCTGCAGCACTTTCCTCAAGAGCAGGGGTCAGCAAACTTTTTCAGCAGGGGGCCGGTCCACTGTCCCTCAGACCATAGCTATCAAGCGTCCCTTATTTGGCGGGACAGTCCCTTATCCCAGCGCCATGTCCCGCTGCTGTCCCTTATTGATGATGTCCCTTAAATAAGCTACTGAAGTTAATGGGGCCCTTTCTATGTCCAGCTGTCCTTTGTCAACAACAAATTGTTGCTGTTTTTTGTGTTGAATATATGCTATATGGTAATTTATGGACCTAATAGGTATCTAAAGCCATTTGCATGCAACAAAATATGTATTTCATCAAAGTAATTGTTGATCCCTTATTTTGGCTGCTGATCCCTTATTTTTGAGGCTGCTAGTCCCTTATTTTCAAATCCTTATTTTCAACCCTAACCTGACTATATTTTGAAGGAAAAAATATGAACGAATTCCTATGTCCCACAAATAACCCAGAGATGCATTTTAAACAAAAGCACACATTCTACTCATGTAAAAACACGCTGATTCCCGGATTGTCCACGGGCCAGGTTTAGAATGTAATTGGGCCGGATCTGGCCCCCGGGTCTTAGTTTGCCTACCCATGCTCAAGAGTTAGTCTGTCTAAAATACTTTGCCCCGTTGTCCAGTCTCAATATTTTGATCTTGGATTGTTTTGTGTTGTATGTTTATATTTTTAAAAATCAAATAAAATATTTATATAATGTAACCTGTTTGGGTATTCTTTGTAATTAAAGAAATCTTTCAAATAAATAAGTAAATCAATTTTTGTTTGTTTGTTTCAGTCTCATTTTCTCTTCTTTCCTGTATGGTGTCCTTTGGAGGTAAGATGAAAACGGATGCATCCCTGAAGCCAAGCCAAGCTTTTCCCCTGAAAGTAATCCCTCGAGAGACAGAAAGACAGCATACACACATGGGCGTGGCCAGGATTTTTGTTAGGAGCGGGGAGGGACTATGTTGGGGGGGGCAACATAGTTAAGTATTTCTATTGTTTTACTTGATCGAGTGTCAAACAGTTCATTAAATAGCTCTGCATCACCCAGCTTTGTCTTGATCCATTCAGAAGATCATGCAAGATCTTAATGCAAAACTAAGTTCCATTCAGGACCGGTCCATTGCACAGTGAACAGTATTGTTCACTCGATAAAAATAAAAGTTAAAGTAAAAGGCAGTAAGGACTTGCAAACTGAAAAGGAAAGTGTAATGATAAAAGGAAAAACTTTTTTAAAAAAATGATATTTATTGAAATTTTACAGACAATAAAAGGTTACAAAATTAAAAATAAGAAATAAAAAAGAATAACAATAATAAAAGAAAAAGAGATACAAAAATACAAAGACAAAACACATAAAAAGTAAGAAAAAATTAAAAAGAAATCAATATTTTCATGTCTTATATTTCATTTACTTGTTTCCTGACCTCCTCACCCCCCCTTTTTTGTATTCCAGTTCACATAGTTAATTCAGCAAATCCTTACCCTCTATCATTTATCTTTACTCAATATCTTAACCTATTATAACTATATGTTTTAAACCATTATCAATCCGAATTCACATATTCTTGTTAATCTTTTTACCAATACCGCTTATTTTCAATCCTACATCCCTTTAACATTCATTAATTTTACAGTATTTCTGCAAGTAGTCTTTAAATTTCTTCCAGTCTTCTTCCACCGCCTCTTCTCCCTGATCTCGGATTCTGCGAGTCATTTCTGCCAGTTCCATGTAATCCATCACCTTCATCTGCCATTCTTCCAGTGTGGGTAAATCTTGTGTCTTCCAATACTTTGCAATCAATATTCTTGCTGCTGTTGTTGCATACATAAAAAAAGTTCTGTCCTTCTTTGGCACCGTTTGGCCAACTATGCCCAAGAGGAAGGCCTCTGGTTTCTTCAGGAAGGTATATTTAAATACCTTTTTCATTTCATTATAGATCATCTCCCAGAAAGCCTTAATCTTTGGGCACGTCCACCAAAGGTGAAAGAATGTACCTTCAGTTTCTTTACATTTCCAACATTTATTAATGGGCAAATGATAAATTTTTGCAAGCTTGACTGGTGTCATGTACCACCTATATATCATTTTCATAATATTCTCTCTTAAGGCATTACATGCCGTAAATTTCATACCAGTGTTCCACAACTGTTCCCAGTCAGCAAACATAATGTTATGCCCAACATCTTGTGCCCATTTAATCATAGCAGATTTAACCGTTTCATCCTGAGTGTTCCATTTTAACAGCAAGTTATACATTCTTGAAAGTGTCTTAGTTTTGGGATCTAACAATTCTGTTTCCAACTTTGATTTTTCCACCTGGAAGCCAATTTTTTTATCCAAATTATATACCTCTCTTATTTGGTAGTAATGAAGCCAATCTCGCACTCTATCTTTTAGTTTCTCGAAGCTCTGCAATTTCAATTTGTCTCCTTCTTGCTCCAAAATCTCCCAATATTTTGGCCGGAAAAACTGATAATGAATGACCCCCACCCAAACCCTCCAATTGACAATTGTAGGCAATGAATCATTGCTTTGTGAACTGAAATCATCACAAGCAGTACACTCTCAATTACAGTCCCAGAAACCCTTTAAACCATGGGTAGGCTAACTAAGGCCCGGGGGCCTGATCCAGCCCAATCGCCTTCTAAACCCGGCCCGTGGACGGTCCGGTAATCAGCGTGTTTTTACACGAGTAGAATGTGTGCTTTAATTTAAAATGCATCTCTGGGTTATTTGTGGGGCATAGGAATTCATTCATATTTTTTCCTTCAAAATATAGTCAGGTTAGGTAATTCTGTCTCTATAATTCCCAAAAGAAAAGCCTCTGTTGTTTTTTTTTAACAAAGGTTATTTTAAACACCCTGTTCATTTCATTATATATCATTTTCCTTTTCTATGTACTAGAATGGGAAAATCCCAATTTCTCTGTCTGTCTGTCTGTCTCACTCCTTTCTTCTTTCCTTCCAATCTCCCGATCATCTTTTGGCTATCACTCTATGCAGGTAGAGCTGCCTTCTGCTCTTCCCTTCTCCCATCCTGCTGCACATTGTTCCATTTGGGTTGCTTCAAGAAGTTTGACCGCAGAGAAAAACAGGTGATGGCACAGCAAGATCAGATGTGGTTAGCAGTTCCCAGATGGAGCTGGATAAAGCTTGTGGTTATGGCTAAAGCCTATAGGCCGAGTTCCACACACAGCTCAGGGTGTGTGTCTACACAATGTTCAGGAGTCGAGGGTGTGATGTTATGCTTCCTGTCTTTAGTCTTTGCTTTGAGAAGACAGACTTTGGCAAGGCCGCTTCATTGTCTCTCTTGGGACAGAAACCAGAGAGAAGGTGGATTTGGGGCTCCAGCCGTGGTTGTTCTTCCAGGGATACTGGCTGAGCATGAAGTCTGCTGCTTTGGTGACAGGTTGGTGACCTCTCTGCTCAACTCAGATTGGAAATTTGCCATCTATCTCACATTCACACTGCATCTCTCCTTTGCTCTTCACTTCCAGTCTGTCTCCAGATTCTCCTCGGGAGATCAGTCCAGGCAGGTAAAGCGGATTTCCGTTCTTCTTTCAACTTTTGTGATAGGAGACAGAAGCTCTATGGGATGTAGGAGTGTCAGATTTTGCATGATTGGGTGGATGGCGGCTAACAGATTGAGGCTGAATCCTGACAAGACAGAAGTACTGTTTTGGGGGACAGAGGGCGGGCAGATGTGGAGGACTCCCTGGTTCTGAATGGGGTAACTGTGCCCCTGAAGGACCAGGTGTCCATCCTGGGAGTCATTTTGGACTCACAGCTGTCCATGGAGGTGCAGGTCAATTCTGTGTCCAGGGCAGCTGTCTACCAGCTCCACCTGGTATGCAGGCTGAGACACTACCTGCCCGCAGACTGTCTCGCCAAAGTGGTGCATACTCTGGTTATCTCCTGCTTGGACTACTGCCCTGCGCTCTACGTGGGGCTACCTTTGAAGATGACCCGGAAACTACAACTAATCCAGAATGCGGCAGCTAGACTGGTGACTGGGAGTGGCCACTGAGACCATGTAACACTGGTCCCAAAAGACCTACACTGGCTCCCAGTACATTTCCGAGCACAATTCAAAGTATTGGTGCTGACCTTGAAAGCCCTGAACGGCCTCTGCCTGGTATACCTGAAGGAGCGTCTCCACCCACACCATTCAGCCCGGACACTGGGTCCAGCTCTGAGGGCCTTCTGGCAGTTCCCTCCCTGCGAGAAGTGAGGTTACAGGGAACCAGGCAGAGGGCCTTCTCAGTGGTGGCGCCCGCCCTGTGGAACGCCCTCCCATCAGATGTCAAGGAAATAAACAACTATCTGACTTTTAGAAGACATCTGAAGGCAACCCTGTTTAGGGAATTTTTTAGTGCTGTGACATCACATTGTTGGGGAAGGGGTGAAGGGAGGAGAGAGAGATTTTCAAAATCTGATTTTGAGTTTAAGAGGCATTGGAGTAAAGGATGGAATGGGCTAGTCAATCCCAAGCAGTAATCGAAGTTGAGCCATTTTGGTAGCTGTAACCGTGAGAGAGATGAAAGGAGCTCTGGCCAAGATCTCTCAGCATAGTCACAAAACTGCCACCATCATAGTTCCTAGGGGAAGCCCACAGAGTACAATACTGAAGATTCAAGTCTGTCGTGAAGATGAGCTTTAATGTGATGTAGCAAAGGGGCAGGGTTATTTTAAGAAGTTCTTCAGTCTTGGGGGGCACAGATATTGTTGCTGCTCTACAATTCCCATCTTCCCCTGCCAACTTAGCAGAAGTTGTAGTTCAACAACATCTGTGGGCCCAAGGTTGAAGAACTGTGTAAGCCTTTGCTTACGTGGCTGGAAACATTGTGGAATCTGGGCGAGAGATCGCATCCAGAGAGAGCAACTCCATCAGGATTTCGGGTGAGGAGGTCTTTCTTTGCAATACAGATCTCTTGGAAGTTGAAGTGGGAAGCTGGATTGAAACTGAGTAATTTGGCTGGTCAAAGGAACAGGAGGGGAATTTTATTAATAGAATTTGAATATGTACAAAATTCAAGTATCATCAGAAATTCTGTAGTCCTCCCAAAGTCCTATTTCCTTTTCTCATTTATCTGCTTGCTTATTGAGGGGGAGAGAGATTATAGGTCTACAACTCCCATCAGTCATCCACCAAGCAGCTTGATGGGTGTCGCAGTCCAACAACATCTGGCAACCCAGGGTTCAAACATGCTTGTTTAGGTGAGCTTTTCTCAAGAAATTATGTTTGTCAAAAAGTGATTGGTTTTGCTGAAAAGTTCCACCAGTTAATGGAATAGAATTATTGGAATGCTGTTCAGGTGATTTTGATAGTGACCCCAAGGAAGTAGATTGTGGAAATCTGTGTGTAGCATTTGTTTAATGCAGGACTGAGAAGGACCAAGGCATTCTTGGCACAAAACAGGCATACCTTGAACCAACAACTCATTTAAAGAATTTGTGGATGAGGGACTACAAGAGGGAAGGGGCTGAATGGCATTTTCCCCTTGCACTTCTTCCCTTTCCCCAATGCAGTTCTGCCTCCACCAGCTCCGGAGCTGTCCATTATCCCTCCAAGACAGACCTTTCTCCAGGGACAACGGATCAAGTTGAAATGCTCCCACCCGGAAGGGCAGCTGGCAGCCAAGTTCTTATTTTATGAAATTAAAGCAGATGGTAATTACACTAGACCACAAGAACAGCTCAACAATACCCTGGAAATTACTGCAGAATTTCAGGAAACAAAGAAATCATTTGTCTGTGCCTACTTGGAAGAAAGCGGTGCAGGACAACTGTCTGAACGGAGTAACCGCATTGAGGTTTCCATTATAGGTGAGTTAAGTTTGGCTAGTTCATATCATCAGAAGGCAGAGGGCCTTCTTGGTAGTGGCACCCACTAGGAAATAAACAACTACCTGACTTCTAGAAGACACCTGAAGGTGCCTTCCTTAAGAATTTTTTAAATATTTGATGTCTTATCATGTTTATAATATTATATTGTGAGCCGCCCAGAGTGGCTGGGGAGACCCAGCCAGATGGGTGGGGTATAGATGATAAATAATAATAATAATAATAATAATAATAATAATAATAATATCCCTTAACTGTGGCAAAGAGTACAAGAGTACCCCCTGGGAGAAAGAGGCACTGGAGGCATGAACTATGGGGATGCTTTGGGCTGGATTAAGAGGACAATTTCAGACCCACATTACGGTCCTTGGAGAGACTTCCAATAGGCATCGTAGCAGCAGTAACCCTGGTGAGCTGCAGTTTCGGGAGAAAAATAAATAAATCCATATCTCATGTATACTGTTCCAAAGCTTCTCCTGCAGGGGAGGTGAATTTATTTTGAAATCACCCCTTGAGGAGCCCCTGAACACACCACTAGGCTGGCTGCCCCTTGTCTCCTAGCACTATAGGAGAAGGAGAAGGTCGGGGGGACGTTTTAGGGTGGGGGAAACTCCCCCTTCTCTACAAATCCTGAACAGGACGAGGAGGCTCCTGTTGCAAGAACAACACAACTATTAACTGCTAGACATACACTGCAACATTTTGTTGCAGGCCACCCTCGTCTCCTGCCCTGCCACACTTGGGCGGTCTTACATTTTGCATTTTGAAGGGAAATGGGGCATCGCCAAACAAGTCTCGCTTCTTATTCCTTATCTGTTTATTTGCTTCTCAGACCACCTTCTTCCTCCGTTCTTCTCTGTGTCCCCAAAGCCTCACACCTACAGCAGTGGGGAGATTGTGAACCTCACATGCTCTGCTCCTGAAAACCTTCTCATGTCGAGGGTTCTCTTTGGGAAGAACAAATGGCTGTTGTATGAGTACAGGCTTCCTTCTCCTCTGGCCTCCTTTACATACACGAGGCGCTTGTCTCCTCAAGGCAGCGGAGATCATTTTTGCACATACCGAGCTGCGGAATCGAGCCGGAATATCTCATCCCCAGAAAGCAACAGCATCAGGATTTCAGTGATGGGTGAGGCCTTAAAAAAACGCGTAGTTCTCTTGGAAGACGAAGGGGAAGGCTGCCCTAGAATGTCCCAGGTTCAATCCCCGTTGTCTCCTGGTGGGTCTGGGAAACTCTCCTGCCTGAGGACCTGGAGAGAGATGCTGCCAGTCAGTGTATACAATGCTAGCAGGACCACTGGTCTGGCGTGGTTATAAGGCAGCGGGTGACGTTCTTAGATGTCTCAGAAGTTACCTCGGAAGTGGGAACCTTGTTGATATCTGTTCAGACTGCAATGTGGGTCTGTCTTTGTTTCTTGGACGATAGCGCTATAACCCTTAGTCAAGCATTATTACTACTCGTGAGTAAGAAACCATGCAAGGGGCCTGGGGGCAAGCTGGAAAGCTCTGACACATCCCCCTCATACCATTTACTTTTTCATAATAATTTTTATTGGTTTTACAATTTGGTTTTACATTCACAGAAAAAATCCAATAAAAAAATACAGAATTCTCGGACTTCCACCCTCCCTTTTGCGGAGTCCACAAATAACCCTTTTCATTGCAAATCATATTATCCTCCATTTATCCACAAAACTCTATTTTCTCTTGTAGTTCTTTTCACATTGCAAGTGTTATTTCAATCTTGATAATGTTTTTAACCGTTTACAGGGTTCTGTCAGATATATTACAAATGTTTCCCAGTCCTTATTTAAAAAATTATCACCCAGAAAAAATATGGAACGCTTCACAAATTTGCATATTATCCTTGTGCAGGGGCCATGCTAATTTTCCCTGTATCATTCCAATTTTAGTACATGTGCTGCCGAAGGGATCACCACCCTCATACCATTGACAGATTGTGAAGGTCTGAAGTGGGGAGACCCCTATATTGTACCAGTGGAGACTCCTAGGGCAATTTAGGGGATGTGATGGCTTACACATGACATGAGTAGTAAGGTAAAGGTAAAGGGACCCCTGACTATTAGGTCCAGTCGTGACTGACTCTGGGGTTGCGGCGCTCATCTCGCTTTATTGGCCGAGGGAGCCGGCGTACAGCTTCCGGGTCATGTGGCCAGCATGACTAAGCCACTTCTGGCGAACCAGAGCAGCGCACGGAAACGCCGTTGACCTTCCCGCTGGAGTGGTACCTATTTATCTACTTGCACTTTGACGTGCTTTCGAACTGCTAGGTTGGCAGGATCAGGGACCGAGCAACGGGAGCTCACCCCATCACGGGGATTCGAACCTCCGACCTTCTGATCGGCAAGTCCTAGGCTCTGTGGTTTAACCCACAGCGCCACCCGCGTCCCTTGACACGAGGAGTACAGATCCCCAAATGGGGATTAAGAGTTTAGCCAGCTAACATTTACCTTCCCGGACACTGCACATTTCCCCTGAATATTGTGCAACACATGCTCCTGATCTTCTCCTCTCCTCTCCCCTCCTGAAGTCCAAGTGGGGAATTCATGAACCCACAACTCTCTGTTGACAAACCTGCCTGGATGAACCTGATGTAGTTGCGTCTCGAGGTCCCCAAGTCACCCCCCCCAATAAAACACAATTGACCCTTGATTTTAGTTTAAGGTTTTGGCATAATTTTCGCCACAACTTTATTAAAATACAATAAATGTGAGTGGCTGCTTAGGCATTGGTTGCGACTATCTGACCCCACATGGGGACAGACTGACATTCGCACGCCCGCGAAGTCAGTAAGGGAAAACATTTGGGAGAGAGACAGAGCTGGGTACCATGCCCTCACCTCTCCCCAAATGCTCCCAGGGGCTCTTGCGTGGCCCAGTCCCTTGACAGGGGTTCAGACAAAAGCATGGCCCTGGATTCCTTTAATGGAATACCCTTGCAGCAGCAGCATTTGGAGGGGCAGGCACAGCCAATCCATACCCCTCCACCAACCAATTCATTAAACCAATGCCTATGCGCCACCTTACAAGTTGTGACGATCTGCTACGCAGTAGGCAAAAGCCAGCCAATCAGCCAAATGGACAAAATTCCTACCGGGCCCCTGCCCCAAAAGCAGATGACCCCATGACAGGCATAGCAAGGTCAAGCGAACAACTCTGAAAATAGGGAGGGTGGGTGAGTGATCCGATGCGCGCAGCGAAAAGAGGAAGCTCAACGCTGCACGCAGGGTATTTAAAGGCTATGGCTGCCAATCACAAAATGGCAACGTATGAATCTCCCCAGAAACAAGAAGAGCTGAATGATAATGGTGGCCAACTTCTTTTCCCACCCAGCAACAGTGGGGTGCCTTGTTAGCCCCCAACACAACACGTGCTCTCCATGAAGAAGAACACGCTTTGTGGCTTGCTGCTTAAAACCTCCGTGAGCCACAGACTCCAAATCACTTAGCCATTGTATTCATTTTCCTTTACGGGCGGCTCCTGTAGCTCCTCCTCCTGCCCCGGTGCTGACAGTGGACCCTCCGTCTGGAGTGGTGAAGGAAGGGGGATTCCTGTGCCTCAGTTGCTCGGCCATTGGCAGCGACGCAGAGCAAAGGTTCCATTTCTACAAGGATGGGCTCAAGATTTCCTCCAGCAATGAAGAGTCTCTGGCGGACTCCAGAGAACCCAGGAATGCCTACTTGAGCGCCTCTGCAGACATCCTGGTCCAAGTCACAGCCAGCAACCACACTGGGGGATTTGCTTGCAGGTATGAGCAGAAACTGAGCAGCCGATGGATCATGTCTCCCTGGAGCCAAACGGTGAATCTCACAGGTGAGCCATGCCGCACCGGGAACACAGAGCCCACATTACAAGTGGGACAGTCCTCTTGTGGGTTTTGTGTTTGAACTCCAAGACTCAAGGATGGAGGGAAAAGAGCAAGGGGTGGGAACAATGCCGTTCTTTGCTGCGACTACCAGCCTCCTCCTTCTCCTTCCTTCCTTCCTTCCTTCCTTCCTTCCTTCCTTCCTTCCTTCCTTCCTTCGTAATAATCATAAATAAATAAGAACAAAAATGTGCACCCCTCCACTGTGACCATTCCATTGCAGCTATCAAATCTCCCAAAATTCCAGTGCCACTTGCGATGGTTTGACCCCTTTCTGTTTTAACAGTACAAATTCTACAAACACCCTCCATATCTCCTTCCTTCCTTCCTTAGTAATAATCATAAATAAATAAGAACAAAAATGTGCACCCCTCCACTGTGACCATTCCATTGCAGCTATCAAATCTCCCAAAATTCCAGTGCCACTTGCGATGGTTTGACCCCTTTCTGTTTTAACAGTACAAATTCTACAAACACCCTCCATATCTCCTCAAAATCATTTCTCCTGCATATTCCCCGTCTTACCTTAATAGCACATGTTAATTTATCATTCATAGCTATATCCCACACCTCTTTATCCCATTCTTCCATTTTATATTCTTCTTGCCCCTTCCACTTCCTAGCTAGAATAATTCGTGCAGCTGTCAATAAATTTGAGAGCAAGTCCTTCCTAGCCTGTGAACCTTCCACCCCACCATAAATTGATAATAATGTTACCTCTGGAATTTTAGTCAGCTTTAACCCAGTGATTTCTGTTATCTCCTTAAACACCCTTTGCCATTTTTAAAAACATATTTCATTATTGGAAATATGTAAAATATTACATATTGGACTACTGCAATGTGCTCTACGTGGGGCTAACTTTGAAGGTGACCTGGAAACTACAACTAATCCAGAATGCGGCAGCTAGACTGGTGACTGGGAGCGGCCACCAAAACCATATAACACTGGTCTTGAAAGACCTACATTGGCTCCCAGTACGTTTCCGCGCACAATTCAAAGTGTTGGTGTTGATCTTTAAAGCCCTAAACGGCCTCGGTCCAGTATATCTGAAGGAGCGTCTCCACCTCCATCGTTCAGCCCAGACACAGAGGTCCAGGTCTGAGGGCCTTCTGGCAGTTCCCTCCATGTGAGGAGTGAGATTACAGGGAACCAGGCAGAGGGCCTTCTCAGTGGTGGCGCCCGCCCTGTGGAACGCCCTCCCATCAGATGTCAAGGAAATAAACAACTATCTGACTTTTAGAAGACATCTGAAGGCAGCCCTGTTTAGGGAATTTTTTAGTGCTGTGACATCACATTGTTGGGGAAGGGGTGAAGGGAGGAGAGAGAGATTTTCAAAATCTGATTTTGAGTTTAAGAGGCATTGGAGTAAAGGATGGAATGGGCTAGTCAATCCCAAGCAGTAATCAAAGTTGAGCCATTTTGGTAGCTGTAATTGTGAGAGAGAACAAAGGAGCTCTGGCCAAGATCTCTCAGCATAGTCACAAAACTGCCACCCTCATAGTTCCTAGGGGAAGCCCACAGAGTACAATACTGAAGATTCAAGTCTGTCGTGAAGATGAGCTGTAATGTGATGTAGCAAAGGGGCAGGGTTATTTTAAGCAGTTCTTCAGTCTTGGGGGCACAGATATTGTTGCTGCTCTACAACTCCCATCATCCCCTGCCAACTTAGCAGAAGTTGTAGTTCAACAACATCCGGGGGCTCAAGGTTGAAGAACTGTGTAAGCCTTTGCTTACTTGGTGGGAAACAGCGCTTGAGGAATATTCTGGTCTTCACCGAGGTGAGGAACATTCTCTTTGTGAGTGAATACATGCAAAGTCTGAACCATCTGGGTGATTCTGCCCAAGCCATTCTGCTGTTTTTGCCAGGTACAAGGAACACAAAGCAAGGTCCCTGAATATAGTTACAATGACCGCTCCCTGCTTAAAACGGGGGGCGCCCTTTGCGAGGACGCGCGCAGCCCCTAGATCTGGAGCGGCTCCATCAGCATAGGCTTGGCTTCGCCTTCCCTCAGGTGGGATACCTGGAGGTCTCCGCCTACCTCAGTCAGTTGTCCAATCCCACGTGGGGAAGCGTTGCCAAGGAGACCAGGCCAGGTAGGGGAGGGATTACCTGCCCACATAATAGAGGGAGGATCTTACCTGGGAATCCTCACTTGGCTCCAGAGTGCAAGGAACACAAAGCAAGGTCCCTGAATATAGTCACAAAGTCGACATCCTCCTGGTTCCTTAGGGAAGGCAAGAGAGCACAATTGCTATAACATTGCTTCATGTTTTGAATATAGCTGAATGTTAAGGAGAGGTGCTGGAGGGATTGGTTTGGAAGTCGCACAGTCTCAGATTGTAGCCCTAATCTCATATATGGGGAATTCTCTGAATGGCATTTCCCCCTTGCACTTCTTCCCATTCCCCAATGCAGTTCCGCCTCCACCAGCTCCAGAGCTGTCCATCATCCCTCCAAGACAGTCTTTTCTCCAAGGGCAACGGATCACGATGAAATGCTCCCACCCGGAAGGGAAGCTGGCAGACAAGTTCTTCTTTTATGAAATTAAAGCAGGTGGTAATTACACTAGACCCCAAGAACAGTTCAATAATACGCTGGAAATCACTGCAGGATTTAAGGAAACAAAGAAATCATTTGCCTGTGCCTACTTGGAAAAAAACAGGGCAGGACAACTGTCTGAACGGAGTAACAGCATTGAGGTTTCCATTATAGGTGAGTTAAGTTTGGCTAGTTCATATCATCAGAAGGCAGAGGGCCTTCTTGGTAGTGGCACCCACTAGGAAATAAACAACTACCTGACTTTTAGAAGACACCTGAAGGCGCCTTCCTTAAGATTTTTTTTTATATTTGATGTCTTATCATGTTTATAATATTATATTGTGAGCCGCCCAGAGTGTATGTATGTATAAATAATTTATTTCTTTAAAGACTTGCTTTCAACATTGTGTTATGTACTTGTCTTGAATTTTCAAGAGGAAGCCTGTTAGTGTGTTTTTAAGCACATCCCCGCTCCTTTATTTTTTATCTTCACAGCTCAGTTGCCAGATTCATCTGCTCCATCAATGGGCCATGCATGGTGGGCTAGTCTGCTTCTGATCCCAGCGGTCCTGTTCGCTTACTATTGTTGGAGAAAGAAAGGCAGTAAGTGATGGGAACTTGGAACCATCCAGCTTAAACCCCAGAAGAAGAGCCTGCCTCCCTTTGGGCCTAGTTCCATAGATTAACCATGCACTGCTATTATATAATCCCATAATAATACAATCTGTAAGTGGAAACCAGCCCACTTTGTTAAGTTAATGACTTGGGCTGGCTAGTTAAGTACCACAATTTAGCATAACGAAAAAAGATGCTCTGTGTCATAGAATAGATGGGTTGGCTTTTCTTCCAGCTCCTCACTTACCTACATAGGAGAGCAATAGGCAGAGTTGTGTGAGAGCTGGAAGCTGGAGAAAGAATGGAGAAAGGCCGGGGGGGGGGGGAGCAGGAAAATTGGGGTTGGGGACAGGTTTCTTTCCAATTTTTCTGGGTTTTTCCCAGGCTTTCCCATCTCTAAGAGAGAGACATGTTTGCTCTGGGTTTGGGGGCTGTCCTGGAAAGCTAAAGGGGAAGCAAGATCTATGGAGATGTCAGTACTATGATACCTTCCATCCTATGCTCTGGTTGTTTATGTGTGTAAATAAAACCATATACCCTAGAGACACCACAGTCTCTGCTGACCTTCATTCCAAGGAAACAGAGTCCTGGATCAGTGCAGGAATTTGTGGAGAATCTCACAGATCAGAGATTAGGATGGTGCATAACCATACTTTTAACTTTTCACTCCCTTTCTTTCTCTCTCTAGTTCTTTTTGCCTTGGGCACATCAAAATATCAGCTAGCATCTGAGACAAAGGAAAGCAAGGAGGAAACAAGTCAAGACATGTTTGGGTTGTTGGTACCCCAAAAGACAGACTTTCAGGTCAAAGTAAGTAGAAAGGTTTAGGTTTGCATTTTGCTTCCATCTGAGCTCGGGAAATGAGTCCATCCTCTTACTGAAACCAGTTTTATGGGTCAGGATCGCTTTCAAAGAAGCGATTGGTCTTTGGTCCAGGTGACAAAGTAAACAAGTGTGTAGCTGTCCTTAGAGAACTGGCTACAGCCAGGAGTGGGGATGGCCACTTGAATAGAAACCAAAACCAAAAAAAGAACTCATGAACCTCTTGTGGCTATAACTGCTAAATTGGCCATTCATGGACAAAGGAATACAAGAAGCTCCTTTATACCAAGTCAGGCGATTGGTCAGCCTAGCTCAGTATTATCTGCATTGACTGGTAGTGGCACTTGAGGGTCTTGAGAGTCTACCTGAAGATACCATCAGGGATCAAATCTGGGAGCTGTTGCATGCAGTGCAGATACCTTGCCACTCAGCTACAGCCCTTATCCCCCACCCCACAAACTAAGGTAAGGCAAAAAAAAGGGTAAAGGACACCTGGATGGTTATGTCCAGTCAAAGGCGACTGGGGTTGCGGCGCTCATCTCGCTTTCAGGCCAAGGGAGCTGGCGTTTGTTCACAGACAGCTTTCCGGGTCATGTGGCCAGCAGGACTAAACCGATTCTAGTGCAATGGAAACACTGTGACAAGTGCCAGAGCGCATGGAAATGCCGTTTACCTTCCCGCCACAGCGGTACCTATTTATCTACTTGCAATGGCATGCTTTCGAACTGCTAGGTTGGCAGGAGAAGGGACAGAGCAACGGGAGCTCACCCCGTCGCGGGGATTCGATCGGCAAGCCCAAGATTCCGATCGGCAAGCCCAAGAGGCTCAGTGGTTTAGACCACAGCACCAACCGCGTCCTTTCCAAACTACTCCGGGTGATAAACAAAAAGGGATGATTACCTGATAGGCTGTGAGGTTCCCAGGTACATATGTCAGGCCAAGGTCAGAAACAGAAAACAGAACTTACGAACTGATTCAGCCACATCCGTTGTGGCTGCTCACCACAGTGGCTATTGTCTGCCTCCACAGCTGGAGGCAGCAAAGCTTCTGAGCACCAGTTGCTAGAAGCTACAGGAGGGGAGAGTTTTGCTCTTGTGCTCGGATGCTGCTCGTGGGTTTCCCACAGGCATCTGGTTGGCTACTGCGAGAACAGGATGTTGGACTAGATGGGCCACTGACCTAGCCCTGCAAATCTATTATTCTATTATTATTTGTATACTGCCCTACATCCATAGATCGCAGGGCGGTTCACAACATCAAATTACAGTGGTACCTCGGGTTACAGACGCTTCAGGTTACAGATGCTTCAGGTTACAGACGCTTCAGGTTACAGACTCTGCTAACTCAGAAATAGCACCTCAGGTTAAGAACTTTGCTTCAGGATGAGAACAGAAATCGCTCAGCAGTGGCACGGCAGCAGCAGGAGGCCCCATTAGCTAAAGTGGTGCTTCAGGTTAAGAACAGTTTCAGGTTAAGAACGGACCTCCAGAATGAATTAAGTACTTAACCCGAGGTACCACTGTACAGTATAAAATAACAAAAAATGCATGATAAAAATAAGAAACCAATAATCCCACCTCCCACAACACATTTAAAAGGGCATTGGGTGTCAATAAGCCAAAGACCTGGTTAAAGAGGAATGTTTTTGCCTGGCGCCTAAAGGTGTATATCAGGGATAGGCAACCTAAGGCCTGGGGGCTGAATCCAGCCCAATCGCCTTCTAAATCCTGCCTGTGGACAGTCCGGGAATCAGCATGTTTTTACATGAGTAGAATGTGTCCTTTTATTTTAAACGCTTCTCTGGGTTATTTGTGGGGCATAGGAATTTGTTCATTCACCCCCCCCCAAATATAGTCTGGACCCCCCACAAGGTCTGAGGGATGGTGGACTGGCCCACGGCTGGAAAAGGTTGCTGACCCCTGGTGTATATTCTTAAGTTCTTATGTGTGTGCCAGAAATTACCATATTTTTCCGTGTTAGAACACTAGGTCCCCCCCTAAAAATAATGTCAAAAATTAGGGGGTGTCTTATACATGGATACATCTCCCCCCATTTTCTTATATTTGAGTCCCCCAAAATAGGGGGCATCTTATACCTGGGGGCGTCTTATAGATTGAAAAATACGGTATTTTGCTGGTCATCCCGTTTGAAGTATATTTTGCAGAGAGCCCTGGGGGGTACACTGGGAAAGAAACCTCCTTCTCAATGGACTGTTCCTGAGCCATTTCTGCTTTCCAGCTTGAACCGTGGGTCACCCTCGTTTCCCTCTCCATCCTCAGAGCTCAGACGTCACCTATGCCACCATTGCCTCCCCACCGACTGTGACTGCCTCTGAACCAACGCTGAAGAATGATCCCATCTCAGCAAAAGACGAAGAGGTCCTCTACAGCGATCTTCTCTTCCACCCTCAACAAAGCCACCTTGAGGCTGTGCAGGAAAGAGATGGCCCAGAAGTGGAAAGGGCAGGTGCTGTGTGAAGCAATGGGTGGATTTGTCCCTTTCAGTCTCTCCTTTTCCCACTCTCAGTTCTCCACACTGACACATCAGTTTGTGATTTATTTATTTTTCAATTCTCATAAAAACTCAGCAGCATCTTAGAAAGAATATCTCCTAGCATACATACTTGCCTGTGCAATTTTGCATTTTCTGCACATCCTTGCAAAGCAATTTCCCCTGATCGTAACGTGTCCCTGCATGCTATTTTCACCAATAAATGCACACTTTACCTTAAGTGTGCATTTTTGAACATGTTGCTCAGCTGGAGAACTGCAAAATTAGCGTGAATCTCGAAGGCCGCCACTTTCTCTTTTCTTTTTTGTATATCATTTTTATTACGTTTTCTGTTTTACAATTTAAAATGCTCATTTTACATCCTTAAGATATCAGTGACTTCTCTTTCCATGGTTCATTTTACATATCATAAATCCCTGCATATTTTGCAAAAATTATGCCATACAGTGTTTCATTATTGCATCCATCAAAACTTGTTTACACTGCTGAATTTATCTTAATGCCGCCAGTGTTTTCAGCTGTACGTAATTATTTCCCATACATTCAATAAATGTTTTCCAATCTTCTCTAAACGTGTTCTTCTTGAGGGCTTCCGGTCAGCGCCAGCGACCTAATGGCGGATTCCCTCTGAGCTCCGGAGGGAAATAGTGCTTCAGGTTAGGAACTTTGCTTCAGAATGAGAACAGAAATCGTGCTCCTGCGGCGCGGCAGCAGCGGGAGGCCCCATTAGCTAAAGTGGTGCTTCAGGTTAAGAACAGTTTCAGGTTAAGTACGGACCTCCGGAATGAATTAAGTACTTAACCTGAGGTACCACTGTATATAAAAAAGACAGGAATTCCTTTGAATGATGACGTGCTGTCATGCCGCCAGAGCATGATTTCTGTTCTCATCCTGAAGCAAAGTTCTTAACCTGAAGCACTATTTCTGGGTTAGCGGAGTCTGTAACCTGAAGCGTATGTAACCTGAAGCGTCTGTAACCTGAGGTACCACTGTACTGTGTTTATCGGGTGTCACTGCCAAGGCAGGCTGCCCAGAAGCAGCCTTTTCTCCGTAGCCGATGGGCAAAACCCCAGTTGTTCCTTTGAAAGTTGATGCAAGAGGCAGGGCGTGCAGCAGTCTGATATTACTAGCAGGGAGCTGCGGAGGGAGCCGTGGTTTTGTTTTGTTCTTCTGAGAAGAGAGGAATCTGGGGACGTGGCCAGTGTGGTCTACCAAGTGAGGAAGTGCTGTTTTTTTTTCCTGCACAGCCACACAGCTTCAAGGCCTGCGGTTCTCTCCAGTTTAAACCAAACCTCACACACAGCGAGGGGAGAATCTGTCCATGTTGACGGACTTTGGGAGAAGTGATGTGCGCTGGGCATGCTTTATTTTTTCTATTTTTTTTTAATTTTTATTGGAAATTTTATTTACAACATAACATAAACCCCCTGCCCCCAATACAGAAACCTACCCTCATTAAACATGAACATAACATACAATAAGCATAACATACAACAATACAAATAAAAGACTTCCTTTATCCTGTATCTGGCCTCCTTATTTACTTCTTATAAGCTGTTTCCTTTATGAATAATTATTAAGATTTTTCTAATTGTAACTTAAATATCCACAAAGTCTCCTTCAGACATTAATCGAAACAAGTCCAGGTATGTCTTTTAGGGCACTGTTTTGTGAAGTATTCTCTGCATTTTCCCCATGCTTTTCGAAACGGTGATCTCTAATTGCCTCTGTTAATCTAGCCTGTTCAATATACTCTAACAGTTTGTCTTGCCAATCCCTGTAATCGGAATACGGTGCAATCAGACCAGGATTGATGCAATATGTTCAAACCCTCTTGTTCCAGTGAGCATCCTGGCCGCTGAATTCTGCACCAGCTGAAGTTTCCAAACCGTCTTCAGAGGCAGCCCTGCATTGCAGTAATCTAACCTTGAGGATACAAGAGCATAGACAACAACTTCAACCATTCCTATCATCCCTCAAGCACAGACCATGTTGGCTGGGGCTGATGGGAGCTGGATCCCAAGATCATCGAGGGAGCCACAAGTTCCCCATCCCTGATCTAGGGAGAGGAACAGCAGCTAACTGGGCAAATCCTGCCACTTAGAGGCACCCTTGGGCAACGGGGCAAAGTATTTTAGACAGACAGACTCTTGAGGAAAGAGCTGCAGAAAGTGAGCCAAGCCGTTTGCTGGACTAGGCAGGGAAAGGCAGAACGCTGCCCTCTTCCCTGACCCCTTCCACCCCATCTCCCTGGTCGTAATCTCCCCGACGGCTCATTCTTCTTCAGAATCTCTGTATCCTTCTGCTCTCTTCTTGCCCTGAAGGGGAATGTAGTTGTAGAGACCTTCCTCCTGGTCTTCAACTGGTTTGGCTCCACTCTCCATCCATGACTGCGATATTGGGGGCTGAGGCAGAGCAGGGGGCGGCAAGGCAGTAAAAGGTGTCTGAGTCCTGAAAAGGAGAAGGAAATTGAGGGAAATTGAGGCTGTTGGGAGCAAATTGAGGGTTGGCATCCATTTTTGATAGCAGGAAAGTGGCCACCCTCCCCTTTTGCTTATCTCCAGTGCACAGCAATTCAGAGGTAGACTGTTTCTGCACAGTGAAGACCTATTTAGCTGTCATGACTAAAATGCTTTGGCAGAATATTCTTCACAAATGTACCTCTTTTCAAAGGGCATCTAAACCACATCCTGTAGCAGCCAATTCCATAGCTCAGTTTCTATTTCCTTAAATAGAGATTGTGGGGGAGGGAGCCAGTTAATGTATTATCAAAGGTTCGTTTTTAAATGGTTCCACAATTTCTCTCCCAGTTTTTTTACACAGAGAATACACACAGCAGCTCTTGGCAAAGGTGAGTGGTCAAGCAACTCAACGAATCTGCTCCCTTCTCCCCTTCTGCCTCCACCTTTCCCTGCCCCATCGCTCTATCCCTGTCCCAGCCACCCCATCTCTTTCAGACATCTTCCCTTCTCTCCAACATGCCAATCATTTCCCCCTCCTTATCTGCCACCCTCAAACTTGTTCTTTCAGTCCTTCTTCCTGGATAGCTCAGTTGGCTAGAGCGTGGTGCTGATGATGCCAAGGTTGCAGGTTTGATCCCCGTAAGGGGCAGCTGAATATTCCTGCATTGCAGGGGGGTAGGACTAGATGATCCACTGGGTCCCTTCCAATTCTACAATTCAATTATTCTTCCTGTGGGGTCTCTTGGTCCTTTTTCTGCCTGGGACACCCCCCGCTGCCTGTTCCTCCAATCGCCTTTCATCCTTTTATCTCCCAGCCAACAGGACGTTGTCCCTCTCTTGACTGATAAGTCTCTCCTGCATTTCCAGGTTGCCAGGCTCTGGGTTCAAGTTTTCCTCCCCTCTGGAAACTCCTTGCATTTTTTGTGGGTGCTCTTCGCTTCCAACTGTTCAAAACTTTAGGAACTGAACTGCTGCCTGAGCTGGCTCTTTCGCTCCTCCCTTCCTCCTTGTGTGCCACAACCATTGTTATTTTGGCTGTCCAGTCTAGGAACACTTTTTGGAAGAAATGCTTTAAATAAATAAGAAATTATGAAGACACACATCACATCAGTGTTATACCAGCATTAGTTGCCGTTACCTCTGAGGCTTCCGAGTGGCGCTGAACATTTCAACATACTCAGAATTTGCTTCTTCCTTGTTTTCCTGCTCAGATTTCAACGCTTCCAAAGTGGAAATGAAAAGAGAGAAGAGAAGAAAGATAGTGAGACCTGAAAGCAAACCTCTTGAGGTTTATGTATACCCTGCCCACCTTTTGGGTTACCCAGCCACTCTGGGTGGCTCCCAACAGAATATTAAAAACATGATCAAACATCAAACATCAAAAACTTCCCTAAACAGGACTGCCTTCAGATGCCTTCTAAAATTCAGATAGTAGTTTATTTCCTTGACATCTGATGGGAGGACGTTCCAGAGGGTGGGTGCCACCACCGAGAAGGCCCTCTGCCTGGTTTCCTGTAACTTGGCTTCTCGCAGGGAGTGAACCACCAGAAGGCCCTCAGAGCTGGACCTCAGTGTCTGGGCTGAGTGATGGAGGTGGAGATGCTCCTTCAGGTATACTGGGCCAATGATATGAGAAGCCCACAGTCTCCAGCATCACCTACCTCTCTTCCTTCTCGTGCAGTAAAAAGCAAGAGGGACCATCAGGATCACCAGTGGAATTGCCCAGCGTGCATATAGCAGGGGTGACGAAGAGGAATTTGGTGCCCAAGCTGCAGAAAGGAAAGAAGGGGATTTGGCTGTTGGTATGAATAAGGAGAAGGGACGCGGGTGGCGCTGTGGGTAAAAGCCTCAGCGCCTAGGGCTTGCCAATCGAAAGGTCGGCGGTTCGAACCCCCGCGACGGGGTGCGCTCCCGTTGCTCGGTCCCAGTGCCTGCCAACCTAGCAGTTCGAAAGCACCCCTGGGTGCAAGTAGATAAATAGGGACCGCTTACTAGCGGGAAGGTAAACGGCGTTCCCGTGTGCTGCGCTGGTGCCGGCTCGCCAGAGCAGCTTTGTCACGCTGGCCACGTGACCCGGAAAGTGTCTTCAGACAGCGCTGCCCCCCAGCCTCTTAAGTGAGATGGGCGCACAACCCTAGAGTCGGACACGACTGGCCCGTACGGGCAGGGGTACCTTTACCTTTACCTTTTATGAATAAGGAGAGGGGGGACTCCATTGCAGCCGTTGTTGTTGAAGACACAATAACAGTAATTCAGTGAAGTTAAAAACGTATCAGTATATCAGTATTCCGCTATACCAAAGGAACAGAAAAGACATTATATGTATGCGACAACAGCCACATGGATGCTGCTAGCCTAGAGATGGAAAGAAAATTATGTCCCTACCAGAGAAGAAAGGCAAATAAAACTCTTGGACTATGCCGAAATGGCAAAACTGACTGGAAGACTCAGGAACCAAGGAGACCTAAACTTCAATAAAGAAAGGGGGAAATTTATAATTTATCTAGGTGATCACTGTAACAGATGAAAACCCTAGCAAGATTGTAATAACACTTTCAATGTAACTAATATTATGGACAAGATGGGAAGATATAAAATACAGATAGTGGAAAAATATGCAGTTAAGAGGGTGTACGATAGGACCCATGGAGGGGAAGGTGGAAATTCCAGAAATTTGGAGAAATCTCTAATTATGGGTATGTAATTTGGTTTGTTATGAATTAATATTTGTGAAATATTGGGGCATGGCTCACCTGTGAGATTCACTGTTTGGCTCCAGGGAGACATGATCCATCGGCTGCTCAGTTTCTGCTCATACCTGCAAGCAAATCCCCCAGTGTGGATGCTGGCTGTGACTTGGACCAGGATGTTTGCAGAGGCGTTCGAGAAGGCATTCCTGGGTTCTCCGGAGTCCGCCAGAGACTCTTCACTGCTGGAGGAAATCTTCACCCCATCCCTGTAGAAATGAAACCTTTGCTCTGCGTCGCTGCCAAAGGCCGAGCAAGTGAGGCGCAGGAATCCCCCTTCCTTCACCACTCCAGACGGAGGATCCACTGTCAGCACCGGGGCAGGAGGAGGAGCTACAGGAGCTGTCCATAAAGGAAAATGAGTACAATGGCTAAGTGATTAGGAGTCTGTGGCTCACGGAGGTTTTAAGGGGCAAGCCATAACTAAATCGGGTTCATCCATGAATTCCCCGCTTGGACTTCAGGAGAGGAGAGGAGAAGATCAGCAGCATGTGTTGCACTACATTCAGGGGAAATGTGCAGTGTCCGGGAAGGTAAACGTTAGCTGGCTAAATTCTTAATCCCCATTTGGGGATCTGTACTACTCATGTCAAGGGACGCGGGTGGCGCTGTGGGTTAAACCACAGAGCCTAGGGCATGCCAATCAGAAGGTCAGCGGTTTGAATCCCTGTAACAGGGTGAGCTCCCGTTGCTCGGTCCCTGATCCTGCCAACCTAGCAGTTCGAAAGCATGCCAATGCAAGTAGATGAACGTACCGCTCTGGCGGGAAGGTAAACGGCGTTTCCGTGCGCTGCTCTGGTTCGCCAGAAGCGGCTTAGTCCTGCTGGCCACATGACCCGGAAGCTGTACGCCGGCTCCCTCGGCCAGTAAAGCGAGATGAGCGCCGCAACCCCAGAGTCGGTCACGACTGGACCTAATAGTCAGGGGTCCCTTTACCTTTACCTTACTACTCATGTCATGTGTAAGCCATCACATCCCCTAAATTGCCCTAGGAGTCTCCACTGGTACCATAGAGGGGTCTCCCCACTTCAGACCTTCACCATCTGTCAATGGTATGAGGGTGGTGACCCCTTCCGCAACACATGTACTAAAATTGGGATGATACAGGAAAGATTAGCATGGCCACTGCGCAAGGATGTCACGTAAATGAGTGAAGCGTTCCATATTTTTTCAGGGCGATATATTTTTTAATAAGGACTGGGGGGAAATTGTAATATATTTGACAGAACCCTGCAAACGGTTAAAAACATTATCAAGATTGAAATAACACTTGCAATGTGAAAAGAACTACAGGAGAAAATAGAGTTTTATGGAGGATAATATGATTTGCAGTAAAAAAGGGTTATTTGTGGACCCCACAAAAGGGAGGGTGGCAGTCCGAGAATTCTGTATTTTTTATTGGATTTTTTTCTGTGAATGTAAAACCAAATTGTAAAACCAACAAAAATAGTTATAAAGGAAGTACCAACTGGTATGAGGGTGATGTGTCAGTACTTTCCAGCATGCCCCCAGGCCCTTTGCATGGTTTCCTACTCATGAGTAGTATTAATGCTTGACTATGTGTGGGTTAAATCACAGAGCCTAGGACTTGCCGATCAGAAGGTTGGCGGTTCGAATCCCCATGACGGGGTGAGTTCCCGTTGCTCGGTCCCTGCTCCTGCCAACCTAGCAGTTCGAAAGCACGTCAAAGTGCAAGTAGATAAATAGGTACAGCTCCAGCGGGAAGGTAAACGGCGTTTCCGTGCACTGCTCTGGTTCGCCAGAAGCGGCTTAGTCATGCTGGCCACATGACCCAGAAGCTGTATGCCGGCTCCCTCAGCCAATAAAGCGAGATGAGTGCTGCAACCCCAGAGTTGGCCACAACAGGACCTAATGTTCAGGGGTCCCTTTACCTTTACCTATGGGTTACAGCGCTATCGTCCAAGAAACAAAGACAGACCCACATTGCAGTCTGAGAAGATATCAACAAGGTTCCCACTTCCGAGGTAACCCTGGCATCTAAGAACATCACCCGCTGGCTTATAACCACGCCAGACCAGTGGTCCTGCTAGCATTGTATACACTGACTGGCAGCATCTCTCTCTCTAGGCAGGAGAGTTTCCCAGACCTACCAGGAGACAACGGGGATTGAACCTGGGACATTCTAGGGCAGCCTTCCCCTTCGTCTTCCAAGAGAATTACGCGTTTTTTAAGGCCTCACCCATCACCGAAATCCTGATCCTTCTGCTTTCTAGGGATGAGATGTTCCAGCTCGATTCTGCAGCTCGGTACGTGCAAAGATGCTCCCCGCTGTCTTGAGGAGACAAGCGCCTCGTGTACGTAAAGGAGGCCAGAGGAGAAGGGGGCCTGTAGACATGCAACAGCCATCGGTCCTTCCCAAAGAAAACCCTCGACATGAGAATGTTTTCAGGAGCAGAGCATGTGAAGTTCACAATCTCCCCACTGCTGTAGATGTCAAGCTTCGGGGACACAGAGAAGAATGGAGGATGAAGGCGGCCTGAGAAGCAAATAAACAGATAAGGAATAAGAAGCGAGCCTTGTTTGGCGATGCCCCATTTCCCTTCAAAATGCAAAACGTAAGACTGCCCAAGTTTGGCAGGGCAGGAGACTAGGGGGGCCTGCAACAAAATGTTGCAGTGTATGCCCAGCAGTTAATAGTTGTGTTCTTCCTGCAACAGGAGCCTCCTTGCCCTGTTCAGGATTTGTAGTGAAGGGGGGAGTTTCAGGGTGGGGGAAAGGATAAAACGTCCCCTTGGCCTTCTATTAGTGCTAGGAGACAAGGGGCAGCCAGCCTAGTGGTTTGTTCAGGGGCCCCTCTGAAGCAGGTTCATTTCAAGGGGTGATTTCAAAATAAATTCACCTCCCCTGCAGGAGAAGCTTTGGAACAGTATACATGAGATATGGATTGATTTATTTTTCTCCCGAAACTGCAGCTCACCAGGGTTACTGCTGCTACGATGCCTATAGGAAGTCTCTCCAGGGACCATAATGTAGGTCAGAAATTGTCCTCTTAATCCAGCCCAAATCATCCCCATAGTTCATGCCTCCAGTGCCTCTTTCTTCCAGGGGGTACTCTTGTTCTCTTTGCCACAATTAAGGGATATTATTATTATTTATTTGTACCCCACCCATCTGGCTGGGTTTCCCCAGCCACTCTGGGCGGCTCACAATATAATATTATAAACATGATAAGACATCAAATATTAAAAACTTTCCAAAGCAGGGCGCCTTCAGGTGTCTTCTAAAAGTCGGGTAGTTGTTTATTTCCTAGACATCTGATGGGAGAGCGTTCACAGGGAGGGTGCCACTACCAAGAAGGCCCTCTGCCTTTTGATGATATGAACTAGCCAAACTTAACTCACCTATAATGGAAACCTCAATGCGGTTACTCCGTTCAGACAGTTGTCCTGCACTGCTTTCTTCCATGTAGGCACAGACAAATGATTTCTTTGTTTCCTGAAATTCTGCAGTGATTTCCAGGGTATTATCGAACTGTTCTTGGAGTTTAGTCCACCCACCATCAGCTTTCATTTCATAAAATAAGAACTTGGCTGCCAGCTGCCCTTCCGGGTGGGAGCATTTCAACTTGATCCGTTGTCCCTGGAGAAAGGTCTGTCTTGGAGGGATGATGGACAGCTCTAGAGCTGGTGGAGGCAGAACTGCATTGGGGAAAGGGAAGAAGTGCAAGGGGGAAATGCCATTCAGCCACTTCCTTAAGTTATTCTCCTGTAGTCTCTCATCCACAAATTCTTTAAATGAGTTGTTGGTTCAAGGTATGCTTGTTTAGTGCCAAGAATGCCTTGGTCCTTCTCAGTCCTGCATTAAACAAATGCTACACACAGATTTCCACAATCTACTTACTTGGGGTCACTATCAAAATCACCTAAACAGCATTCCAATAATTCTATTCCATTAACTGGTGGAACTTTGTCAATTTTTGACAAACATAATTTCTTGAGAAAAGCTCACCTAAACAAGCATATCTCTCTCTCTCTCTCTCTCTCTCTCTCTCTCTCTCTCTCTCTCTCTCTCTCTCTTTTCTAATTTACATTTCAAAATATTCATTTAGACAACCTTAAATCAACAACTTCCGTTCTTCTCTTTCCAAGGTTCATTTTGCACACCATACTTCCCTGCATATTTTACATGAGCTAAACTGTTCAGTAATCCATTGTTACATCCATCAAAACCTATTTACACTGTTGAATTTATCTTAATGCTACCAGCGTTATAAATGAAGACAATTTTCACCCATATATTCAGTAAACATTTTCCAGTCTTCTTTAAACGTATATTATTCTTGTTCTCTTCTTCTATATGTTAAATCTGCAGGTTGTATGTATGCCATCATTTTAAGTTGCCATTCTTCTTCGTCTGGGACCTCACTTGTTTTCGATTTTGGGGCTAACAGAACACGTGCTGCAGTAGTAGCATGCATTAATAGTTGTTTTTGATATCTGGGAATTCCCCTCTGAATTATCCTCAACTTCGATTACTGCTTGGGATTGACTGTCCCATCCCATCCTTTACTCCAATGCCTTGTAAACTCAAAATCAGATTTTGAAAATCTCTCTCTCCTTCCTTCTCCCTTTCCCCACCAATATGATGTCACAGCATTAAAAAAAAAAATCGCCTAAACAGGGTTGCCTTCAGATGTCTTCTAAAAGTCAGATAAATGTTTATTTCCTTGACATCTGATGGGAGGGTGTTCCACAGGGCGGGTGCCACCACTGAGAAGGCCCTCTGCTTGGTTCCCTGTAACCTCACTTCTCGCAGTGAAGGAACCGCCAGGAGGCCCTCGGAGCTGGACCTCAGTGTCCAGACTGGATGATGGGGGTGGAGACGCTCCTTCAGGGGTACTGGGCCGAGGCTGTTTAGGTCTTTCAAGGTCAGCACCAACACTTTGAATTGTGCTCAGAAACGTACTGGGAGCCAATGTAGGTCTCTCAGGACCGGTGTTATGTGGTCCCAGCGGCCGCTCCCAGTCACCAGTCTGGCTGCCATTTTCTTCATTAATTGCAGTTTCTGAGTCACCTTCAAAGGCAGCCCCACGTAGAGTGCATTGCAGTAGTCTAAGCGGGAGATAACGAGAGCATGCACCACTTTGGCGAGACAGTCTGCGGGCAGGGAGGGTCTCATCCTGCATACAAGATGGAGCTGGTAGACAGCTGCCCTGGACACAGAATTGACCTGAGCCTCCATGGACAGCGGTGAGTCCAAAATGACTCCCAGGCTGGACAACTGGTCCTTCAGGGGCACAGTTACCCCATTCAGGACCAGGGAGTCCTCCACACCTGCCCGCCCTCTGTCCCCCAAAGCAGTACTTCTGTCTTGTCAGGATTCAGCCTCAATCTGTTAGCCGCCATCCACCCAATCATGCAAAATCTGACACTCCTACATCCCATAGAGCTTCTGTCTCCTATGACAAAAGTTGAAAGAAGAATGGAAATCTGCTTTACCTGCCTGGACTGATCTCCCGAGAAAGATCTGGAGACAGACTGGAAGTGAAGAGCAAAGGAGATGCAGTGTGAATGTGAGATAGACGGCACATTTCCAATCTGAGTTGAGCAGAGAGGTCACCAACCTGTCACCAAAGCAGCAGACTTCATCCTCAGTCAGTATCCCTGGAAGAACAACCACGGCTGGAGCCCCAAATTCACCTTCTCTCTGGTTTCTGTCCCAAGAGAGACAATGAACCGGCCTTGCCGAAGTCTGTCTTCTCAAAGCAAAGACTAAAGACAGGAAGCACAACATCACACCATCGATTCCAGCCCATTGTATAGACACACACCCTGAGCTGTGTGCAGAACTCGGCCTATAGGCTTTAGCCCTAACCACAAGCTTTAGCCATCTAGAAACTGCTAACCACATCTGATCTTGCAGTGCCATCACCTGTTCTTCTCTGCGGTCAAATTTCTTGAAGCAACCCAAATGGAACAATGTGCAGGAGGATGGGCGAAGGGAAGAGCAGAACTCAACTTTACCTGCATAGACGGATAGCCAAAAGATGATCGGGAGATTGGAAGGAAAGCTCCTGCTCTGGGAAGCTGGTATTAGCTGCTTCCAGCCTGCCAAACTCCTTTGAGAAGCTTCTGCCCCCTCCTCTTCCCCAAGTACAGTTTAAAGAAGTCATGTTAGAATTTAACTTGGAAATGTGAAAACACACGCATTGAGAAGCGGATTTCAATGCAACATGCTGGGAACCTCAGCCGAAACTTAAATGTATTTACAATGGTACCTCAGGTTAAGTACTTAATTCCTTCCGGAGGTCCGTTCTTAACCTGAAACTGTTCTTAACCTGAAGCACCACTTTAGCTAATGGGGCCTCCTGCTGCTGCCGCGCCGCCGGAGCACGATTTCTGTTCTCATCCTGAAGCAAAGTTCTTAACCTGAAGCACTATTTCTGGGTTAGCGGAGTCTGTAACCTGAAGCATATGTAACCTGAAGCGTATGTAACCTGAGGTACCACTGTATTTACATTTAGATCCCACCCCTTTCTTCTGTTGGCAAACATATATTTCTTTGGTTAGTTAAGAAAATGTCTCTATTGCTGGACTGCAGTAAAAGCTTGACTGTAGCTTAAAGGAAATATCAAAATTATCAACAACGAGTACGTAGTTAAGAACAATGTGAAACATTAATTGTGGTTCCCTGGCAGCCACACAGCCAGGCATTGACCAGATCCAAAGATACATAGATTCAGCAAGGTGGTAGTTTTATTTGCCTTCAGGCGAAACCCTGGTGGGAACCAAGCCGCCAACAGAGTTGCCATGTAGGGCCCAGGGCTGGATTTAGGTTTGATGAGGCCCTCAGCTACTGAAGGTAACAGGGCCCTTTCTATGTCCAGCTGTCCTTTGTTAACAGCAATTTGTCACTGTTTTTGTGTTGAATATAGGCTATATGGTAATTTATGAACCTAATAGGTATTAGCCGCTCTGAGCCTGGCTTCAGCTGGGGAGGGTGGGATATAAATAAATTATTATTATTATTACTATTATTATTATTATTATTGCCATTTGCACATAATATGTATTTTATCAAAATAATTGTTGAACTGAAATACAATTAAGAAGAAGTATATTAATAGTGAAATACAATTAAGAAGAAGTATATTAATAGTGAAATAATTATTAAGATCTAACTTAAAATGATTTTTTATTCATAACAAAATTAATAACGCAATCACATTGGCATTTGGCAATAACAAAAGTTCATTTAGAAACACAATTTACAAAGACTCATAATCTAGGTTTTTATCTTATATTTTTGAAACGTACATCCAGTTTTTTCCCTTTAATTTTTTTGGGGGCCCCCAAGAGAGTGGGGCTCTAAGCTATACCTTGTACGTAAATCCGGCACTGGTAGGGCCCTACCCTGTCCAGAAACCTACACAGTTTCATTTGTTTAAGACTGAAACAAAAGAAGTTTTGCTTTACTTATTTATTTGAAAGATTCCTTTAATGACAAAGAAAACACCCAAACAGGTCGTATTGTAAATGCAAAGCAATGCTCCATGAAAACCAAGCAATCGTTTTCTGAGGGCAGGTGACCCCATGCCCTGACCCCCCATGGCAGCCACCAGAATGGAGAAGGCCTTCTTCTGGA